CCTTGGATGTCCACTCTAGAAAGCTAGATATTTAGTCTGGGTTATGGTAAGCTACATTACTTGAATAGGTATGAACAGTAATTTCATATCTTATTTTGTACCCTGCATTCCTATGTAAGGATGCACAGGTCTTAACTATCACGGTTTTCATGGAGTGTCATGAAGGATTAGGCCAACCACAGCTTTCCACATGAAGCTCATAGTATTGTGTATTTTACTCTTGAAACCTCAGCTGTAAGCATCAAGGCAATAAAAATCAGAATTTTTGTAACTGAAGTGGGAGCACATTTTTTAGCTCTATCAGCCACTGCAAATATGAGATGGGAGCTTCTCCAGGTTTAAGAATCAGCAAGTAAATAAACAAATCCTTGTCATTATTCCTGAAAATGTCCCCTCATGTTCAGTCATGTCAAATCAGAGTTTTGACTTATTTTCTAAGTATTTAATTGAGATTGCTGCACATGGGTAACAGTTCACACTGAGGCATGAGTTACCTTAGTTTTCTAAGGAAGGTCAGTGCAGAGCTCAAAGCTATCTTTTTGATGATAAATATTTGCATTTATAACATCCTGTCTAATTTTCACTTATTCTGAGAAATTACCCAAAAGGTGAAAACAGTGGCAACAGGTATCCTATGCAGAAGAACGGGTTCTCCATTTAAAAACAGAGAACAGGCACTGGTTTTGAGCCTAGGATGAATGTTTCTGGCAAACTAGACTGAACTCAAATGCTGCTCTGCTTTTCCTTAGAAGCATACCTAAACAAGTGAGTCTAGCTCTTCATACTGTTAGACGATACCTGGAAGGAGACTATTAAACATGAACATATTTTCAAATATGTTATTTTGGGAAATAATTGTTAATTTTAGAAAATATTTTGGTCCAAAGTTACTATTTTAATGGGGGTGACGGGTGTAGATGAAACTAAAATATAACCTGAGTTTTAAGGGGGAAAAAAAGACATCAAAAAGACTTTTTAGAAATTTGTGCTATATTTCATCCTCCTGTCCCCTTGAACTGTTGTAGTTTAAGAAAGAAGATAACTGCTGACAGAGAAATGGACTGTGCAATGTTCTGTAGAGGAAATAACTCATTCCATGTGTCTGTGCTCCCATGATGGAAGTTGGCATTTTGTATCTATAATTTCTATTCCAGCCATCCTTTCTCACTGCCACCCTTCATCTTCTCAGCTTTGAGCAATGAAACCACAATGCAAACTGAGAAGAGTTGTACAGATGTGATTGCTTCGGGTCTTGTGGGAGCAGCTGCCTCTCTCCAGGCTGCCTGTGATACGGGACTGCAGTCAGGAGAAGCATCTACTAGTTGGTTGCTGAGCATCATGCCAAATCTTTTTTGTCTCCTTCTTGGACATAGCTGGATGGTGCAGTGGTCAGCTGAATGTGGGTATATAATCGATGGAAAATGATGAGTTTCAAAAAACTGCAGAGAATGCTGAACAAAAACTTGTCATACAAGATGAACTTCCCATCTCCTTTAGCTGGGACACAAGTCACCGACTGGAAGTGAGGAAATCTGCAGCCCCTCCAATGACTGTCCTCCACTCATTATTGTGGAATAAAAGCCACCTTTGCAGTCATTTGGTTGGCCAACGCCCAAGTCCAATCCAGTTATCACTCAATTGCTGATGTTTGACTGTAATAATAATAAGTAAAATTAAGTATACTTACAGTTCAGTCTAAGAAAGTGAACTGTTGTTACTCGCTGTTATTTCTTGCTCCTCTTATGAAGAATTCATCCTTCTGCTGACAATCATGCTTATTCAGACCTGACACTGCATGATTAAAAAAAGAAAATATCTTTCCAAAAATTACAGTCTTGTGGAATCTGAGTGTGTGGGTGATTTTGCCTTTTTTCAAAGCTACCTTGCTCCTTGGGTGGGGATCATTGACTCTGCTCTGACAGCAGTAGTCTGCAGCTGCACAGCCTGGCTCTCCTAAATCCACTGTATCAGGGAGGTTAGACTTGTCTTACCTTTTCTTTCTCTTCTTTATACTGCTAATGTTTTGTCTTTTTCCTCCTGCCCATTCATTTTGTTCTTACTACTCTGTTGTTCAGGCCCTTGTCTTTTCTTTTGCCATAATCTACCTCCATGTTGGAATTCCTTCCCTTTTGCCTCTCAACCATAAGCCTTACATATGTAAAATGGATTAACAGTCATCCTTTTTAGAAAAAAATACAGGCATGTTTCTTTTGTATTAACCAAAGAAAAAGATGGCAGAAAGATCTCCTGTTCTCAGACCAGAAAACGTCTTTCTGTTGCTGTTTCCTTTTTTTCCGTTGCTCATCCACGACAAAGACACTGCATTTTCTGCTCCTTCCTGTACAGTATGTCAAGCACACAGGAGGGAGGGATGGAGAGGGAGAAGAAATCATAATGCTAACTAGAATTCAACCAGATTTAGCTTCTGAGTAATGCTAGCACTTCCCTCCCAAAATATTTGCGTGAATAGAGCGAATGTTTTAAAGAATTTGATCCAAAAAATCAGAGAGGTGTACCTGAAGATCTCAGTTAATAAAATGACTTGTCATGCCTCAGCTTAAAGCTGCGCTAAATTACACTGAAATTACAGGAACTATTCAATTGCATGAAGTTCACTTGCTGAGCTTAAGGTCCAAGTTCTCCTCCCAATTGTATAACAGTTTCTGAAGTAAAACAATACTCTCCACAAATTATAAAATGAATAGACCCAAGAAGGAAATGTAACAGGAACAATGAGCACTTTGTATCTTCCCTTCCTTTCCTTTGCTTTGGCAGAATGCTTCAGGAATGGAAAACATACTTGAACATCAACCAGCATAAATGAAGAGATTTCTCAACACTTCTGCTGTTAAGGATCTTAGGGGCAAATTTGAAAGGCCTCAGACATTTATGTGCATGCATAAAATGTTCATGTTCACCTTCCTAATGTTTGTGTCTAAGTGTTCCTAATGAGCCTGCAGACAGGATGCAATGACAAAAAAAAATAAAACAGTTGTGCATTTAAATGAACTAGATAATCATGCAGTTGCAAAGATTATGCTTTTTTATATGCCTTTGCCACTGTGAAACTGAAAGAAGAAAAAAAAAAAGATTCAAAAATGTGGCCTTGAAAGATATTTTTAAAGCAGATATTCAACTTGGATCAGCTGTGTGCACATAATTATATACATACAAAGCCTGATGGTTATCTGGCACAGGTTTTGTGGCCAAGGAACACATTCCATAATTTATAACGCACACCAGTGTGAGCCTGTGCTGCCTTCTTGTTTGGATTTGGGCTGTTGTGCTTGAGAGCCCTGCTTGTGGATAAGGAGGGTGTCAGGCTCTGCACAAAGAGAGGACAAAGAGATTTTTCCCTGCTCCCAAGAGCTATTTACATGATCCCTGAGAAAAAGAGAGAAGCAGTAGAAACCAGTAGATGGGAGGCTATAAGGAAGGAATGAAGACAGGTTGGGCCAGGGGTGATGCTGGGGTAAGCTGGACAAGTTAGCTTAATTTGTGCACATAAGATGTATTTGTGTGTAAGCCCAATAAGAAGACCACTAACACCTTCACAGGGAAAATGTTAATGTATTTCTGTTGGAAGTTTAGGAATATTTGGCAGACTGTATTACCAAGGTAAGACCATGTGACTTGAAAAAAAATATTGCAAATGAATTTATAAGAGCAAGTTGTGAGTGATAGCAAGTGATCAGAAGGAGAAATATGACTCAAGCTGTACTGAAATTTCCTCTGATTGTCATCTGTGAAGAAAACTTGTTGAGGAGTTGGTTCTTTTTAACACTGCCTTTGGCAGTCCGAGGGTCTGTTTCTGGACCTGTTGAAATCTACATCAGTAATTACAGATATTTCAAAGGCTGCAGAATTAGACCTCACCACAGAAAAAAAGTTAATAGAAACCTTTAATTGTTATCATTAAAAAGCAACTGATTTTGGTAAAAAGCATCTGGCAACTCTATTGGTTGTTCACCTCTAGTGTTGCAAAATGAGGTCTGCTAATGCTGTTGGATTGATTAGCACCAGTATATCAGAGGACTTCCAAAGTAGAGGATGGTTCTTCATCTCGCACAAAATAGTGATAAGCAGTTATGGCAAAACTGCAGCTGTAGATAAAAGCTTTTGCAATTCTCAGGCCTTATACATTGGGGTAATTCCTAATATTTGGATTTGGGGTAGTACAGGACAATCTCATGTTCTGTTTTCTTTGTGGTTATTTTTTTGGTTTTATTTCACTAAATCAGGCCTCTGTAACAACAAACAGGTGCTAAAATGTTTCCAGAGACAGGCAGAACAGAGGTAAGTGTCCTTTTCTATGCTTCTGCCCTACTTAATCCACTGCTATGGGCTTCTGCTGAGAAACAGTTATTAGATAAATGAATCTTTAGGATCAGTTCTAGCGCTCATGTGTTCCTACTGATGTTACTTTTCTGAAGTCTACATGCAGTCCCCTGTTGCGCTATGTTAGTAGTTCAGTTTAAATTTGAATAGACAGTAGTTTTTGGTTTTTATCTCTGTGAGAAACTTTACCTCCTCTTTAATGAATTGTGGTGTCTATCTGGATCCCTGCTATAGTATTTCTTCTCTCAGACATACCTGGGACTTGGGAGGCTTTTCTCAAATATCAGCTAAATTTAATGCTTTCAGCTTTTACTATTGACCATACAGCATTTAAGAGGCTGTTCATATTCTAACTGCTAACCTTGATCTTAGTGATGTAAAAATGATGCATAACATTTTGATCTTTGTCGTCAAGGAAACTTACAGGACAATTCAAGTGTTGGAGATGTAGTTTCTGTAAACTGTGTGTGAGATACAGTACTGAGTAAAGCCCAGCATTTGTTTTCCTTCTGTGATCAGATTGTCATAGCTTAAAATAGATACATTCAGTAAAGCCAAAATCAGTATCGTAGATCAGCATATGGATTGTAAAACGGGTCAGTCATAAATGGCATTCTTAGGATTGCTTGGTCTAAGGAAAAAAGGTGCATACAGAGAAAGCAGGTATTGTTGTAAGGCAGTGATGATCTGTATAACCTCCAAGACTGGGTAAATCCTCACTAATGTGAAATAAGTCACCCAGCTCTTCCTTGTGTCACTGCAGTCTTCTGAGGCCGGAAGAGCTGTACCTACACTCCTAGTTGGGAGCAGAAATGTATTTAAAGTATATGTTCCTTACTTGGCAGATACATGCTACTGTAAGATAAACAAGGAATCAATATTTATGGCTACATCCAAGTGTGATGTTGGGGCCCTCTTAAAAAAAGGCTATTTGAGTTCCAGACTGAGATTAAGCTAAAGGGGAATATAATCTTTCTCTTTTAAGAAGGTTATTTATCTCTATATTAATTTCAAATCTGAATTTCAAAGCATTCTCTTTTTTTTATAAACCCTTTGGTGAACAATCCACAGAACAGGATCATAGGAAAATTCAGGCTGGTGGGACCTCAGGAGGTCTCCAGTTCAACTCCTTCCTCAAAGCAGAGCCAGTTCTGAGGTCAGAGTAGGTGATTCAGGGTTTTATCAAGGTGGTCTTGCAAATCTCCAAGGTTGGTGACTTCACAGCCTCTCTGTCCATTGCTTCGTTGTCCTCAAGGTGAAAACCTTTGCCTCTAAAGAGGTCCAGAGTTCTATTGCTTTGGCTTATACTTGCAGTCTCTCACCTTCCCCCATGCACCACGTTGAAGACTGTGCTGCTCCAACTGCTTAATGACTTCCTTACCAGTACTGGCAGGCTGCTTGTAGGTCCCTCCAACACCTCCTCTCCTCCAGGCAGGGCAAAACATTTATGAAGCCATAGGGATGTTTGGTGTCATTCTAACTATGCGCTACTTAATTAACACAAACTGATACTTAAAATCTGGGTCCAAAACCCAGCGTTTTTAAACCTAAGTGGGAGACAGGAAGGTGAGACAGTGGTGTGAGATTGAGTGTTGAAATGTTGAAAGCATCAGTTTTGTATCTGACATTATCCAAGGTCCAGACAAATGCCAACAACATGTTTTGCAAATGAGAAAGAAACCAGCCCAGGTTTCCTTTTTGTAAATATTTCAATTGTTTGATTAAAGGATCGACACAGTATGTCAATTTAACACAGCAGCCTCAAGTGAATGAAGTCTCCCAAAAGCAATGAGTAATACTGGCAAAGCTCTGTGGAACCAGTCATAGGTATGAATCTCGCTTTTATCTC